CTAGACTCTGCTCTGCATTCTATTTTATTTACTTTAGGTTTTCCCCCTTAGAACTGGGGGCATGTGACATAGAGCCAATATGCTTGAGAACTCTGCCACAGCCCAGAGTGGCATTTGAACACCCTTTCATTTCTTTCCCTCTGTTTCAAGGGACAAGAAGTGGCAGCTAGTTATTAAAGATCTGCCCCACCTAGAGATTGATTCAAGATTGCTTGTGGGGGTGAAATCATGGTGCGAATTACCAATAGTTATCTTCCTAATGACTGAGCAAGTCCTATTTTTTTCTGAAGGTTGGACACAGGTTTTGGTATTTACATTTGTACAACATGAATCTATAACTCTGTGTGCATGTCTGTGTGTGGAGAGAGAGAGAAAAAAAAGGATGAGGAGATGAAGAAAGGAGAGAAGAAAGAGGAGGAGGAGAGGTAGGAAAATAAAAGGAGAGGAGGAAAAAGATTTTTACCGCAGAGAAGGAGAGAGAAGGAAAGATGTTCAAAAGATGGGAAAAAAGACAGGTAAGAATGGGAGTAATCAGAACAAAGGGAGAAAGAGGTGAAAATGGAGAGTAGGGAGGCAAAAATTGTTCACGTTGCAAAGAAGCGACTTTCCTGTCCTGTGCTTCTAACCCTAAGGTCGTAATGAATGAGAAAAAAGAGCTGCTTCTTGTGAAAAATTGAGGTGAGTAAATTCTGTGATCTCAGTAGTGTTTGAGCTCTTTCTAGTGCCTGCCCCTCCATCTTGACACCAACATGTCAGTCTGGGTTCATCCTGCCTGTGGCTTCCAGAGTCTTCCAAGGCAATGTGCCCTTGGATCTGCTGCTCTTGGACGTGCTCTCTCTTTCCCTTTCCTCCTGATCAAATTTGCCTATTCCAGTTCCCATTCCTCCAAATCTCTCCTCTTTTGTACTTGTATTCTCTAGTGTGTGGAATAAATGTATTAGTGCAAAGTATTTGCATTCCTTTGCCTGTAATACTTTAACCTCCTAAAGTGATACTGGAAGACATATTTTTGAATGGGTGTTGGGGGAAACATGTCTAGTGGAGTTGCTTCTGGTCCACTAATCCCACCACGTAAGCCTGTCCTGCATACTGTCCACCTTGTTTAAAAGTTCAGGTCATTCTGGGCATGATGGCTCATTTCCGCAATCCCAGCACTTTGGGAGGCCAAGGTTGGTGGATCAATTGAGGTCAAAAGTTCAAGACCAGCCTGGTCAACATGGTGAAACCCTGTCTCTACTAAAAATACAAAACTTAGCTGGGCAGTGGTGGTGTGCGCCTGTAGTCCCAGCTACTTGGGAAGTTGAGGCATGAGAATAATTTGAACCTGGAAGGCAGAAGTTGCAGTGAGTGAAGCTCACACCACTGTACTCCAGTCTGAGCAACAGAGCCTAGTTAACTGAGATGCTGAAGGAAACATTTGCGGGGTGGGGAGTTGGAGAGAGATAGCATGGGGAGAAATGCCAGATATAGGTGATGAGGAGGAAGGCAGCAAATCACACTGCCATCCGTGTACCTATGCAACAATCTTGCATGTTCTTCGCATGTACCCCAAAACCTAAAATGCAATAAATAAAAGAAAGAAACATTCAGGGCCATTCATGTTCAGCAAATGGCATGGTGTGTCTATACAGAGCAACGACTTAAGCATCTTATGAAAGCAGTAATTCATGAAACTTTTAACCCGAGTATTGTTATTCTGGGATAAGAAGAAGAAATTCAATTGTATCCCATGCCTGAGAAAACTTTTAGATTGCAATGTAAGAGCCTCTGTGGTGGGTTTTTTATTTTCCCTTATTGCTGTCTGAAATGGAAATATGTACCTTTTTTCTGAATCTCTTCATATTCCTTATCAAACACATACACTAGTACCAGTACCACTAGATCAAGAAGGAAGAGGAGTGAGATTGACATCCTGACCTCCTAAAGATCACTCATACTATAATCAAGATGAGCAATTATTTTTTAGGCCTATTGCACCTCAAGAATTCCATCAATTAGAAGGGCTCACTATATCAGGAAATCTCCCATGCACAGAAGCAAATGCAAGGAGGCTATCCTAATCTTGGGAAACGAGTTTGAAAATGAATAGTCCAGAGTTAGAGTATGGAGGCAAGAGTGTGCATTTTCCTACTCGACTTCTTTGTCAATTGAGAATCCATGGTGAATAGTTATGAGGAGAGGCTGAAGATCTGCACAGTCTGTCCAGCCTGAACCTGGCCTTCATTCTCAGACTCTTTAGGTCCATTATCTGGAGTATGAATCCTACTCATGAATGCAGCATTGAGCCATGTGGGACCAGCAAGTTTCATATCTATAAAGCCTTTAAAACACAACATGCCAAACATTTGGCACAGAAGAGTCAGTGGTAAAATATCAAACTCAGATGAGATATGAGAGAGTGCAAGCTTTCCAAGGGCAGGAGTTGTGAAGACTTCATGCCAAAGCCCTGCCTTGTGGTGCTATCCAGCCGAATGTCTTGGTATAAACTAGCATCTACAAAACCCTCTTTGTTTTGATATGGAGTCTCACGCTGTCAGCCAGGCTAGAGTGTAGTGGTGCTATCTCAGCTCAATGCAACCTCTGCCTCCCAGGTGCGAGAGATTTTCTTGCCTCAGTAGCCCAAGTAGTTGGGACTACAGGCACCCACCACTAGGCCAAGCTAAATTTTGTATTTTTAGTAAATACAGGGTTTCACCACATTGGCTAAGCTGGTCTTAAACTCCTGATTTCAAGTGATCCAGGAGCCTCAGCCTCCCAACATGCTGGGATTACAGGCATAAGCCACCATGCCTGGCCCCTGTTTATTTTCTTAAATCATGATTGTACTTCTAACCCAAAGAGATGGATCAAACACATGCTCACACCAAGTAATTGGGGTAGTCACACAAAGTTAATCAATGTTCATTTCTCTTCTCCTAGAGAAGCATTCAGCATATCAGATTGCTTTCTGGAAAATACCATGCTTGATTAATCTGAAAATCATGAAAAAGTTGAAGAAAAAAACAAGAAAAAGAAGCTCATTTGCTTATGGACACACTTCCAACTCTGTAACGATTAGCCCACTATGTTTCAGAAAATTTTCTAAGTCAACCTTAGACACAAACCTGCCAGAAGGCAGGCCTTGACACAAACTGAACTTGAGCATATGGTATATTAGTAGTGTGCTCTGTTTCAGGAATGTGTAAGATAATAGGCCCTGATAATTAAAACAGCACATTTGTTTATAAGCATAACTTGATCTGGGGCATATTGTTAGAAATTTTAGCAAGCACGATGTTTCTTTCAGGACTAATTATTCATCTGAACTTCAAATATATTCCAAGTTATTTCTTTCACTAAATCAGTAGAGCACAATAAATGCTTTCTTTTGGGTGACCAGTAGGTTCAAAGTTCTGGATCATTTTGACTTGCGTATGTGGAGACCTAGATACTAAACATATATTATTTCACTAGAGACATAGTCTTTCTGTTTCAATGGTGACTGCATCATGTCTGAAGACTGCAGTCTACATGGATTTGAAAATTTTAGATGAATTTTGAAAATTTTAGACAAATTTTCTGTCCCCTACGAATGATCATGATCATCCTGCATATGTTTACCCAGATATTTAGAGTCTGCTCAGTAACTGGGTAAATTTACATTTCAAGATATCTACCCAGATCAGTAGAAGAAATGATTGGGTCTATCTTTCAAGACATGTGGTTTTTGCCAATTCGTTACCATCTAATCTTTTACCATTTTTCATACTAAATGTGTAAGCATAAAGAAATGTCTTTTCAATACCTGGCCTGAAGTAAATGTCTCTGAGTATGCATCTGTGAATTAGCCAATGGAGGAAAAGCACTGCAAAAGGCATCAATTACCCTTGTATGACGTGATTCTAACTAGTGGAATAACTGCAGGAGTTCTTCAGAATAAGTTGTCCACAAAAAGCAAAGCAGAGAGGACAATAACTGTTTCAAAAATTAGTAAACATTCTTTGGAAAGCTGTCAGGAGGCCTTGTGAGAAGGCAAGCTTCCTGTTTGTTTGGAATCCTTCATTCTAGAAACACCATGGGCCTTACAGCATAGATAAAGGACTCAAATCATTCTAATAAAGAAGAATATGAAAAGAAAATGAGTTTTAAATCACAGTTTGAAAGATGAACATTTGTAATTTAGTTTTCAATTACCACTTGGTGTATAATGACATTGCTTTAAAATAGATGCACCTAAAAACCATGAGTTGAGGTTATCTCAGAATAAGATAAACTGATCATGGGGTCATCTGATCCCTGGTCTATAACTGGGCTTAGCAGTCTTGAGTAACAATTTATCCTAGAATATATCCTAATCATTTCTCACTTACTGAACAGAGATGTTTCTTATACTTCAAATTCATTAAAATATTCAAAGCTAAGACATAATCTAGTCTTCAATCAGTGGATGCTTAGATTATAAAGCAGTGTCTTCCTGTCATTCTTCTATTTGCTATCATGTATAAATTATTTAATACCTGGATAGTCATTTAAGAACTTGTTTAATTCATTTAAAAAATCTGTTGCATTTTCACTGGGCTCAAAATAAGGTACCAAGTGTAGAACTACTCACCTACCTGTGCAGACAGATACCTACATCTCTAAATGCATTGGGGAAAACTGATTTTCTGCCACATAGCATAAAATCACCAGAGAAATACAACATAAAGCAAATATTTACCCCTGCAGGGGAGAATGGAGCTCAGTCTTATAATGGACATCAGCAAAATCCATGGTTTAAATTACAGACTAACAAAGGGTTCAAGAGCTCAGAATTAAGTTATTCTGTTTAAAATCAATCACAGAGACTGCCATTCTGCTTATTGCTTTGACTCTCTAACACAAATTTAAATGCAGATTTTATGGACAAGTAGAAAGTATCAAGAGATCTGCTCTTTTTCAGGCCTGTGTGGACTGGCGGGGTAGGGGCATAAGGGGCTGGAGACAAACGTTTAGGACATTAATGTAATTAGAATGAAGAATGCATTTTTCCAGAAAAACATTCAAATCTTTATTTTTAAAAAGCCCACAAATCCATAATTAAATTGTTATCTGAAAAAAAAAATCATAGGGAGCAAAAGTAGGGTACATTTAAAAGGCATTAGATTCATTAATACCAGACCCATTCTGGAGACACCATGCAGGAATTCTGGACTTACTCTGCATCTTCTTTTTGGTGGTATCAGAACTGGGGAAAAGGGTCCAAGCACAGTGTTGCGTTTGCCAGTGTATTCGGATTGAGGCTATGAGGAGAAGCCCTTTTCCTTTGTCAGTGGGTTTCATGTTGGGCCACCACTCTAGCACTGAGCAGCTCCTCGATGGCCCTGTCATCATACCTCAGGACCTCCTTCAGGATGTGCGTTGTGTGCTGCCCAAGCAGGGGAGGCGGCCTGGCCTCTGACATCTTGAACTTACTGTATCTAACAGCTGGGCCTGCCAAAGGAGAAGGAAAGCAGGAAGCCTGTTAATGACTAACCCTAGGAAATTAATTACCTAAGCGGCCTGGGGTGTTTTCCACGAATGCCAAAAATATCAATGAGTGCCAGTCACACCCTGGCAGATGCACCATTGTTCTGGAAATAAACGTGTTTTCGCATGTGGCTTTTCTTGACTCAGGTTCATCCAAATGTGCAGTGCTCATCTGACTCACTCATCACCATGCAGTGGGGCTGCACGTATGAAGCTAACATGTGCCAGGCCTGTTTGGAAGCTGGTGTTCCCATCATGAAGACTCAGAGATAAGGCACTCAACCGAGTGAACTTTCTGGGTAGAAAAGAACAGTGACCACAGAAATGTAGTGTCTCTCTGAAGCTGGAAATTTGATCCCAGGTGAAAGCAATCCAGAAGTTGACTACCCAGTGTCTATTGCATAGTTCCAAGCTTTAGTTCAACTCACTGCAGATATCACTGAAACCTTGGCTAGACCCTATTTCAAACCTTTTGCTGGCAGAGGAGGTTATATGTGTAGGCTTCACTGTCAGAGAACTTTGGCTTTGCTCTCAGCTCTTATGCTCTCTAGAAGAACCGTCTTGGATGAATCACTGAACTTCTTTGAGCCTCATGTTTTACAACGGAAACTGGGTGTGATGTTTACTACATAGACTTGAGGTAAGGATTTAATTGCGATGATAGGCAGAAAGCACTAAGCATTCCCTAACCCATGACAATGCACAAAAACTTGTTGGTTACTATGATTACAAAAGCTGCCACATCATCTTTCTTGAAGCTTACAGTGGAAGGAGAAAAGGGGTGCTGGGCACTAAGTTCATCTAGACAGAATTGAGCAATGCTTTTAATAACTGTTGGAAATAGATTTTATTATCCCCATTCTTCCCATGAGGACATGAAAGCCCCCAAAACCTAAGGTTTTGCTCAAGGCCACATAGCTAATCACAGGGCCTGGATGAAAATCTGTGTCCATTGGAACTGTCTCACATTAAAGGCCATGCACTTTCCATAACATCAGCAGCCTCTTCTGACTTCTCACTCTTCCATGGAGAAGCTGGACACTGGGGAACATGTTGTTTCAACTAATTTTACCTTTGTTATCACATTGAGTAAGTGGTATTTATGTTGGCTGTGCTTTCTGTCTCATTTGATTCAGCTTCAGGAGAACAAATGAGATAGTAGTCACAAGAAGATTTTATAAAACAGGACATTTCTTTCTCAAAACTTTTTTTCTGGCTTTCTCTTGATTTGAGGAGCCCATATGAAGAACAAATAAAACCAAAGCATGAGTGGGTAAAAGAATGTCCATCAGTAAAGCATCAAATGAGCTTTGAATTCTTTGGAGAATTTCATTAATAAACGTACTTTTGTACATGCCATTGTTGACAGTGATGGAGGACATGGGTCTCCTAACACCGTCAAGATGCACCTTTGTGTAACACATCCAATCCACTACAGAGAGACGACTTTCAACTGATGGCTAAAGTTTTCCCTTCTCTGAAGCTTAGTGACATTCATTGTTTTCTTCTCACATTTCTTTTAAATGCCCCAGTGCATGACCACCTTTTCAAGGGTCTGTCCCTTACTGAAAAGTAAGGGAGAAATCAACCATAGCACACATTGGGAGGCAAGGTTCACAGCTCTCCCAAGAATGCCAATAATGTGATGGTTTAGGGATCTGAATCTTACTCATTGCTCTCTCCAACTCTGTTCCATTTTGACGTTAATTAAAAACAGTTTTAATCTAAAACCATCTTTCAAAAGAAGAACTCCATTGAGGCAATATATGCTCCCTGAAGTCAATGTCATGTGACTTTACCCCACGTGAATTGCCTGAAACCAGACTACAGAATGGAAAATAGTCATTTGAATATATCAGGAACCTGGGTTGGAATACAGCTCCTGCAGCCACTGCTGCTGCTGGTAATAGTAGTAGTCGCAGCAAGTCAGGAGTAGTAATAGTTATCATAGTCTAGCTACCATTTCTTAAGAACTTGTGATGTGTCGACCACTGCACCAAAGGCTCTATGTAGCAATATATCATTGCATACAGTTCTCACAAAAATCCTGTCTGGTAGGTAGGCTGTCAGTCATCTTTGTTTCCAGATTAGGAGATTGCAGGGAATGCAGGTTTAAGTGTTAAAGCAAGTATTAAAGTTAGGTAATTAAAATGAACTTGCCCAAGTTTACACAGAAAATGATAGAGGCATATTCCAATTTCACGTCTGTTGGGTTCAAGAACTTGGATTAAAAAATAATAATTTATTGAGGTAAAACTTACATAACATAAAATTAACCATTTTATAGTGAACAAGCAGCTTCTCCTCATTCCTCCCAAATCCAGGCAACCATTAATCTACTTTCTGTCCCTATGGATTTATCTATTCTGGCTACTCCTTATAAATAGGATCATATATAATTTGTGACTTTTTGTGTCTGGCTTCTTTCACTTAACATAATATTTTTTAGATTCATCCACATTGTGCAAATCAGTACTAAGATCCTGGACTTTTAACCTCCATGCAGTGACCGAATGAGGGAATTAATACTTCAGGTCCAGCCAAAGTAAATTTGAAGAGCAGTTCAACTTGTGTTACTCCCACTGTATGCCATACTTTCCTGGTAGCTTCCAAATCTACACTGAAGACTATTCTACCAGTTTAGAATGAAGAGTATTTGACCCTTTGCATAAAACATCAGGAATTTAGGTTGGTAAAATGGTTATTACTTGGCAATTTTTTCACACTTGCTAGGATAAAAACATAGACTGCAATGGAACAAATAAAGTGATGTCAAGATATCAGAGAAAGCTAAATTCCCACGAGCTATTTGAAAATCTGTTCTTGCAGCCCTGTGCAATAATCCTACATAGCAGGGACATCCCTCTCTGAATAACATTTGCATGCAGAAAACAAAGGGCTCACAAAATACGTTTGTTTCAAAGAATAGAAAATATTTGACATAATTATTTATATCTAAGGTCCAAAGAAAATGACTAATCTGATCTTCCATCTAAAAAATTATGAGCAAGGTGAGTCACATGTTCTGAAATGTTTTGGCAAGGTAACATCTCTGTTCTCATCTGTTTTTAAATATGTACAAGCTGTGTGAACTCCAGCACTCTTAAGGTCTCAGAGCCTCAGTCTACACATTTCTAAGACAAAGTCAGCAATACCTATTGAAGGTCAGTTTGAGCACTGCGTAATATTATATAGATAACATTCAATATCAGTTATAATCTAAGAAATGTATATAAAAATAACAAGATAAAATTTTGCTTATAAAATTAGCAAATCATGTGGGATTTTTTGTTCGATTTTAAAAGGTTGGTGGCTGGTAGGAGTGTAAATTGGTGCAACCCTTCTGGGGGAAATTTGTCAACTAAATTTCAACACTTTTAAGTGTTCACATACTTTGATGGAGAAATCCTACTTTAAAGTTTTTTTCTATGGACATAATCAGGAATGTTCACAATTTTCACAGGCAAAGATCTATAAAGATTTTTTAATCTTCCCAGTACTCTTAAGAGCTCTTGACTTCTTACGTGGCATTCTAACCTACAGCCCATGAAAATTCTTTGTAAGGGATCCCTAACTTCGGTTTAACTTGAATTTTCTGTCAGTTCATTCCTTCCAAAGGTTACCTCTGTTAAGACTAGGCATTTAGCTTCTCATTATTTCATGTACTGCCCTGAAGGCCTATCTTTAACCTCTCTTTTCCAAATAAAAAGGTCAAACAGTTGTAATGTTGAAAACTATTAGACGGATTTGTCCAAAAGTTGGGCACTGGTTAAATAAATTATAGGGAAATTGTATAGTAATTTCAAGTTATAATTTAATTTTTGGCTTTGAGTACATATATTGCCTTCAAACTCTTCTGAAACCCCACTGAAATAAAAGTATAAAAATTGAACAAATGAAAAAACTTCATATGAATGAAAAGAATGGAAGTGAGCATCACTAATGAATGGGATTTTCCAATGAATTTACAGGCCACATGGATGAGATCATGTTGATGGATAAAAGAGGTAGAGAAAGCTGAAGCCTAAATCATTCTAGAAGGAGAGTAAGAGCAAGTGGATGCCAGTTGGCCTGTTTTGCCTCCCAAGAGCCTTTGATCTTAAAGTCAGTGATTATGAGAGACACAGAACAGGGACTAGAAATAGGACTAAGAAGAAGGATTGAATGTCTCTGTATAGAACAAGTAGTCCAATTTGGATCTGCACTAACATTTAAGCAAGCTTTGTGAAAGGAGAGTACAGCCAGCATTTAGCCAGCATCAACCAGTTCTTTTTAAAAACTCAAGAAAGCTATAAAGGGAAAGTTAAAATTTTTTAATACAGATTTTTGTGCCCCAGTGCAAAGTCCTCCATTCTCCTGCATATGAGAGGCCCATAGCATGTCTGTGCATCCATGTCATAAAGACTGTCAGTGAAACTACCTTCACCAGCACTTCCAAGCATTCTCATTCAGGGTAGATCCAGTAGGAGTGGAAAACAACCTTAACAACAGAGAAAAATCAAAGCCAGGCATCCAGATCTTTTTTCTATAAAAGAATGATCAACCAGAGGATCACTAGAAATATGAGAACCAAATAAAGGATTTTAAAAATAGGAACAATGAAGATAACTCAGAACAGAACAAGAACAGAATGCTATGCAAAAAAGCACAATTGAAACAAAATTTAGCACTTAGATTTTCCAATATTATTGTCAAAATTAGGAATTTTCAAAATAAAGTAAAAGATGCTCCCAAGGATGCAGGGAGAAAAATATAGGTTGTCTTACAAATGTGAGAAAGAAGCTAGGAGTTCTCATAAGACAGACAAGAACCCCAGGAAAAAAGAGTCAAAAGGAGTAGAAGAGGAGAAATTTTTCAACAAAGAATATGAGGAATAGAGAAGAGAGCATTATTTTTCAGATTAAAAGAGTCAACTGAGAATCTAACAGTATAGATGAAAAGATCTACATCTTGATGTTACATAA